TGTGCTCTTCCGATCTTATATATTTGTAATTTCTCTTGATTTTTTATATAATTATTTGGTATATGTATATGTAATACAATATGATTATAGGGTCATGATACTACATCAACGACTATATGCTTCATTTTGGCACTATTAGCTGAGCATAAGGACATTCAGGTATATATTAGGCTCTATTCTTAAACAAACAAAATAATTATTCCCAATAATTTCCAAAATTACTTATTAAAATGCATCTATATTAAACATTTTAAATACCTTTTTAAGGGTGTTATTTTTGTGTATATAAAAGTATTAAAATAAAGTATTTTTAATTAATATTCGTGATATAGGAATGTGTCAGGAACGAATTCAATACTGCAATACAAGAACATGAAGGGAAAATTACTATGAAATTATTGCAAGAGTTATCATATTTAGAGAGATGTATAAAGGAAGGATTGCGCTTGTATCCTGTCGGAGGTGATATAGCACGCGTTACTGCAGAAGACGTAAAATTACGTAGGCATTAAGTTAATCTTTCGTTGTACTTTTAAATTAAGATGAAAAAATGTCAACATGATACAAAACTGATTTTAGTGCCTAATAATATTTTTATATGTGAATCTTAGAATTTTTAGTTTAAGCAAAGTGCGCGCCGCATCGTCAATCTTTAAAAACGCAGCTCCAAACTGAATAGTACGTCATCTTACAATTAAATTGGAAAAAGCAATTTAATAGTTTTTTTGCTCTTTGAGCAAATCTTTTTAACATTATGAAGCGTGGCGATTTGGGCTTCCCTTAAAACCGCGGGTAGTTGGATGGCAATTATAACCGTATTAACTTATTAAGTTCAAATTCAACTATAATCATATAAAATTACGCCATTGTGATTTTTGGATGGATAAGCATAGTTGTAATTAAATAACATGTTTATACACTGCTCAAAAAAATTATGGCATAGAAAAATTTTGAGCAAAAATTGGTCATCTTTGGTTAACGGTAACTCCGCGAAAAATCATCGTAAAATGAGAAACTTTTTTTCAAATAAAAGCTTGAAATCTCTACTTTAAGATACTATGAGTCGATTTTAAATTCAATGCCTCTCTGTTGCTGTAAATTCTTAAATCTGAGAGCATATTTGCCACACTGAAAATTGCAAAGTTTGAACGAGTGCACGGACTTGCTAAAATTTTTCCTGGGGATGCGGTTTCCAGCGTCATAAAGTTGGAATATTTCCCTTTAATTTGAAAAAAAAATAAATCGCTACGATTTTTTTTTTACAAAGTTACAGCATTTTGAAGTAATCCTTGTATTTTTCTCATGTACGATCAACATTACCCGATGTGCACTATAGGTAGGTTGATGATCGAATTTTGCACATCGTGTGTGTATGTGTGTATGTTTTACACACGTTCGCACTCACACAATGTGCAAAATCCAATTGCCAACCTTCCTATAGTGCACATCGGATAATGCCAAACATACATGAGAAAAATACAAGGGTTACTTAAAAATGTTGTAACTTTGTGAAAAAAAATCGTAGCAACTTGTTTTTTTTCACATTAAAGAAAAAGATTCCAACTTTATGACGCTGGAAACCGCATCCTCGGAAAAAATTTCAGCAAGTCTGTGCACTCGTTCAAACTTTGCAATTTTCAGTGTGGCAAACATTTTCAGTGTGGCTCTCAGATTTAAGAGTTTACAGCAACAGGGGTGCATTAAATTTAAAATCGACCCACAGAGATTTCAAGCTTTCATTTGAAAAAAAGTTCATCATTTTACAATGATTTTTCGC